GGAAAAAAAAATAAGATTCTCCATTTAGATACTTTTTTAAAAATAGTCAGTAAAAAATTAATGGTATTAATCTCCTTTTCATGTATTAATATGCAAAGTCTTGAATTTTTTTTCTTTGCAAATCTTTTCAAACAGAAAATCCAATGATGTGGCTTTGCACTCTTGTTGCAAAATACAAGTTTGTTTAATTTTATATGTAGAGAAATAAATGTATGCTACAATTCCAGAAAATGGAAATTACTCTTCAGATTATAAAAGAATTATCTTACAAATGATTTCATTTAACAAGAGACAGTAAGTCACAGTAGTTAAGAGAACAGGTTTTGTCATAATTTAGAAATGGGTTTGAAAAGCAAGGAACTTCCTAGCAGTGGAACTTTGGGCAAGCTAATTAACTTGTCCAAACCTAGTTTCTATATCTATAAAATAGAGATAACACCCAAGTTTTCAGAGATGCTGGCCTCAATATACCTCTTCTCCTTTTCTTGATATCATCATTCAACTGATTAGAGCTCCTTGAGGAGTAGGAGAGAATAGGGTGGCTTTTGACAGGCCTACTTTCCAATAGCGATCATGTGTCTCCTTATTCAAGAAGTCTGTCTTCTCTTTGGTTTGAGGACCTTCTTTACCTTGAAGGATCTTTCATCTCCTGAGGGATTCTGTCCCCCACGACCCCAATTTTCCTTAAACAAAAGAGTAAGGGACCGTGAAAGGGAAGGGACCTTATAGGTCACTCAGTTCAACCTCTCACCTACTGTAGATTCTTAGAAATCTTCCAAATATTCAAAGGCATGTATTAATATTATATTCTCTTGAGACTGTCCTTTTCAAGCTAACAATAACCTCAAGAAAAATTCAAGATAAGATATACAGGGAGCCACGAAATTTATCCTAGAACTGAAATCTCCTAATTTCATCTTTTTATATGAAAAAACAGAGGATTTATTTAACTGAAATTTATTATATATAAACAATCCTCTCTTTTCGAACATTGAAAAAATTTACTTAAATCCCCCGAAAATATAATTTTAAAAGTAAAATTAATTTTACCACTAAACCATCCCAAAGATAGACATAGAAAAATGTTAAAATATACATTTTATTACATCCTAATATGAAGATGACACAAGTACAGGTGTAAATATGGATCTGACTTTCTAGATAATGACAAATCAGGTTACAATCAAAATGCTAGCTGCAAATCTCTAGCTTTTTGAAAGCTGTTTATTTTGACTTTAAAGCCTTCTGAGCTAAATGAAAAACCTAAATATTGTAGCATAAACCTTTAGGAAATAATTGATAATTTTCCTAAAAAATATTATAGAAACTATATGAATACAGATTAACAAAATCAGAATGATTGAGAAAACCTTAGTTCTTAAATCACTCTTGAAAATTTTTAAGAGTATCTATAAAGCAATATTGCTGTCTTGTAGAAAAGATCACCAAAAAGGTTACACAATATTTATATTAACATTTCATCATTTTCTTCAAATAACAAAATATACAAGCTATGCACAATACTAAAACAGAACATGCTCTCAAAGAAACAAAACATTCAAAACCATATGAATATAAAGGAGAAAAAAGGCCAAGATGGGAAACTGAAGTCTAAGGATAAGCTTACATATAAATAAAATTAAGTATCTGTCTGGTACCATTATCCCAGGAAAATGGCTAGAGAGTGTGAGATCATATTTTAAATATATGTACAAAAGAGCGTGAATTGGTTGCAGACAGAACTCACTCTGAGGTGTCCAGGTAAACATTATCACCAGAAAGGCCAGCTGGTAGAATAGAATAGAATAGCATAGCATAGCATAACATGGACTAGCATAAAAACTACCTCTAGTCACTGTCTGAGTTAACAACACAAGCAAATCGTAAATCAGTTATGAGTCATTGTTGAAGAAAAAGAAAACATTGAATGAGTGAACATAGGAATGTGAAAATCCGAAAAGAAAATGTAAGAGTGTTTGATAAAGGATTCTTTAATGCTAATTATCATAGTGTCTTATACAGTTTTTGATACAGAGTTTAGTGGCATATCAATATAATATACCAAATAATTATAAACAGAGGAATCTCCTGGCTTTGGTTTATTAGCCGTGTAGCCTTGGCAAACACCTTCCTCTCCAAGTCTCAGTTTTTTCATATATAAAGTATGAACACTGTGAAGGGCTATTCAGAACATTAAATGAACTCACTTATGTAAAGTCTTTTAAAGTCTTATACATAAAAATAAAGCAGTAATCAGCTAATATAGATATACAGATACTTTACAGACCATTCAGGGAAGAATAACCAATCCTCAATCTAGGTACAACATCAGAAGCAATTAAAGATTCAGCAGGTCCAAATTGTCTTAGCTCATTGAGAACATGGTAGGTATAAACATTAAGAGATACGACATTAGCTCATTAAGACTACAGTATACAGACAAAGCCTGCTTAGCCACTAAAAAGGAATTATATCCAAAAATACTTTTAAATTGGGATTATGCAGTTTTCAAATGAGGAGAGTGTGGGATAGGTTAGTCATAGAACAATGACTACACTAAAATTGAGGAAGTAAACAGAGGATTCGCAGAAGTGTTTCTAAATGGGATATGATATTTCCATCCCGTTGTTTTAGCATAGTCATAGAGTAAAGGCTCTGGAGTCAGACAGACGTGAGTTTGAATCCTGGCTTCATTCTATGACATTCAGCAAATTGTTAACAGCTCTGTATCTTAGTTTCCTTACTGTATAATGAAGATAAATAATGGTACCTATCTTGTTGGGTGGTTCGAAGGATTAAATGAGATAATGTACATCAATATCTGAACCAATAAATGTTAGTTGTTGTTACTTAAGAAATGTTCTTTCTATAATTTCAGGCAAAACATTAAGACTTGGTAAGTATCAAGATACAGACATATACTAAAGATAATATACAACCCATTCAAGACAATCTAGATTAAACGAGGAATATAAGCTATTATTGCTCATCTCAAAGCTATATGTCCTCAATAAATAAAATAGGATCATTGGGTCAAATGCTAGCGAAAAAACATGATTGATCTGTTAAGTTAGTTTAGCAGTTCTCATACAATAGGAGCAGTAGTGACTCATTTATTTTTCTTTCCCTTACTGTGTCTAGCACAGAATCTTAAATGTGGCAGCTGCTAAATGCCTTCCTTATGATAGATAGGTGGTCAATAAAGCTGAACTGAATTTATTTTCAGGCAGCCCACTTGAAGAGTGCTATTTGAAATTTCTTTAGCGGATGATAAATTATTTAATTCTACACTTTAAGACAAAGTCCAATAGCATGGGTCTTGGAGACATAATGACCTACATACGAATCCTGATTTTGAATATGAATACTGACTCTGTACAACATGATCCAGGGCAAGTTAATTTTTCCTTTTTCTTTTTTTTTTTCTTTTTTTAGAGACAGAATCTTAGTACAGTGGCCCAGTCATAGCTCACTGCAGCCTCAAACTCCTGGGCTTACACCTCAGCCTCCTGAGTAGCTAGGACTACAGGTGCATGCTACCATACCTAGATAATTTAAAATTTTTTTTTGTAGGGAACAAGGTCTCATTATGTTACCTGGGTTGGTCTTGAACTCCTGGCCTTAAGTGGTCCCACCAGCTTGGTTTCCCAGAGTGCTGGGATAATAGGTGTGAGCCACTGTGCCTGGCCCTTCTTGCTAAGCTTCCTTCCTTGTTTGTAAAATTGGAATAATAAGGAATGGGTTGTCCTTAGCACAGTGTCTGGCATACAGAAAATGATCATTTGACATGTGATTTATACCAAAGTTCAGACAAAAGAACCTAGGAAAGATCAATGAACCCAGACTCTGGAAAATATTTCAAATTCTAGTTTTAAGAAGACACACAGTTTTCTCTCATGAATGGGAAAACACTTCAATATCAGCCCTAAAGACTCCATAGCAACTTACACATATTTTCAACCATATGGATCTTTTCTTTTGTTATAAACTATATTTAGCACATATAAAACTTTTGTATTGAAAACACTTTATAAATAAGCAGGAATTTTTTTTTAGAGAATATAAAAATTTTAGAAAACAAGTACACTAACGAAATGCATTTAAAAATTTATGTGTTAACAACTAAATTGAAAGTCTATTTGCTTTGAGCAAAACTGTAATGTTCCTAAATTAACTGACTTTGTAGTTTGCTGTAACCAAAACTTGGCTGATGCATCTCTGTTCTACAATATGATATAGCTTCCACAGGAAAATAAAAATTTTAAGAGAAAATATTAAACTATAACATTTGAAAATTCATATATCATATTAACTTGGTCTTCTGGCATTTTATCAATGAAGATAAGTAAAAATATAATGAGCTATGGAAATTTTTAAAAGATGATCATAAATTCAAAGATATATAACAATTCACCAAATAATTTTCAAATACTTAAATATAGTTTATGAACCTACTTAGAAATACACCTCAGAGTTTTGAAAAACCTAAATATTGTAGCATAAACCTTTAG